ACAACTAAATGTATCAATGAAGTTAGCCCGGTGTTCCAAATGCTTTTCGTGAGATGCGTGTACGTTACAAACTCAAAAGTTACAAAGAATGTAAATGTATGGACAAATTAGCCCTTTTGTCACCAATAGATTTCGAAGTTTTTGAAACCTATTATCTCCTCTAATAGTGAATCCAAAGAGCTTAAAGTTTCACCGTGTACTAGGTTTCAATTCCTCTTTAACTGTTTAGAGTGATTTCAAACCTAACATGATGCCTTCTTTACGCAAATTCGTATGCTAATGAGTGCAAAATGTAAACACTGAGGTCAGCAAAGATCTTGTCATTACAGATCTTTTTGTTTTTCGATTCTTTGCTGGTTTGAAACACAAAACATGGTATAAGCAATGGTTTTTTTACACAAGACCAAACAATTTGTGCTAAATTTACGTGAATTAAACTTCTTCCGGTCTCTTATCGTTACATGAAGGGCATTCCAAGCATTGATTGGAATGACAGATGAACGCATCAAGTAGCTATAATTGTAAACAGGAAGCGAACATGTCCCAGCTAATTTCTATGAAAGGAACGACCTCGTTCAACTTTTAGTGACCTCCTACCTGTTATGCACGTACAGAATGAAGTACTTCCAAAGGAGTTGAAACACGTATGTGTTAAGAATTACCGAAAAGCTGGTAAAATCTACAAAAAATCCGAGGCTGACCCTGAAATTGAGCGCTTGCAAGAGACCAAAACTCACCAGATTCTCAGGCAAACAGGGTTAAAAGATGTACGTAAGCTAAAAAAGGAAATAACCTTGTTAACTTAAACATATTTGTACATGTGAATATTTCGTCCACTTCTCATTTCCGTGACTTAGCATGTCATGTACACGGTGGAAGTGTCATTACTAAAAACGCGAGAGGAGAGGGGAAGGGATGACTTGATACTAACGGTTTGTATCTACGTAAAACAAAATGGACCTTTACCTCAATAAGAACTGGATAATGAACAGGGAAGCGGGTTTTTTACGTAGTAAGTTTTAAGCAATTAAACAAAATTTGCATTGTTTCACCTGAACTCAGGAGTGCCAGCCCTTTTACATCCCGCCCCTCCACCCCCCTTCTCCCTCAATGATTATAAAGCAGAGGCTAATACCATTAGAGCTATATAAAAGAGGCGCAGGATCTGAAAAAGAATAAAACCAAGGTTTATTTGAGCTCAAACAGCGGCGCCGGAAACAGAAATAAAACAAGGAAATGAATGCAAGCCTTTTCGAATTATTTACGCTGGCAAAATAATCATTTCCTTGGGGGAACAACATTTGAGGAAGTTCAGGTGGTCTCGCTTAAAATTTGATCCAAAAATTGTGGCTAGGGATGGTAGCAAGTGTAATCATTTTATTGGTTTGGAGAGCTACGTAGAGCAACTAAAAATTAAGAAATTACGGACTGAACCGATCAGATGTCCGGAAGTTGTTCTCAAGCAATAACGTTACGTAATCGGTACGCTCCGAGTGTTATTTAAGAAGAGGTTTCAGTGGAACATACTCCATTATCCTCCAAGCAGTTTAGGATACAGAACAGCAGCTTGCCCATTCTGAAATCGGCCATATCTACCCTCCTGTGCTTACGAGTTTGATCATCGGCGATTTCAACTGATTGTACTTAAACGCGACATCATTGTCCCGGGACAGCGTAAACTCCAACGGAGCGTGCAATTTTTTCTAAGTTAACTCAAACTTTATCTAGCAACAATAGTGAACTGGATTCAAACTTGTGAACAGACCATGACTACATTAATACAGGTACGTCTGAAGAAAATTTGGAATTTTACACGGTTCATGATTCAATTCCTCGACATTTTCGTGCGTTTAAACTTTAACCTTTGAAACTAATATAGGTACTTAACTAAATAGGATAAGCCGAATTTGTGTATTGGCTGCGAATATCATATTTTTTCCCTATTTTTGTTCATGTTAGATTTATCCAAGTATTGGAAAAAAATAGGAAAACAAATCAGAAGCAATTTTTGTCATTCGCCGTAAACGTAACGTGTTATCACACTTTCTTAGTCACTGTTAGCTTGCTAGTCACTTGAAAAAGGGTTTGTACGACGCATGAAAATAAATTCTGCACTTGTCAATTTTGCACAAATTAAATCCTTCATTTCAAGAGCATTGGGTTTTTCATTCTTTTTTTCCAAAGCTCTCTACTTCCTCCTGACATTTCTTTCGATTGACACAGAAAATGCCAAGGCTCGTGGTCATTTTGGTGGTTCTGTAATTTGATAGGTACAACCATTGAGAAACAGAGAGGTTACTAAAGATGTCGAGATGGTACCCCGGGAGATGGCAGTGAGGAAGTAGTGATGTTTAAGGAAATGGTTGACGTGAAATTGATCATAACCAAGTTGGTAAAATTGGACGTAGTACGTGACTTTGTTTTCCCGCCTTCTCAGTTAAGTTTCTTATGCGGAAGAGTATAAACAAGACTGAAATAATTTTTTAAAAAAGGAAAAGAAATGGGAAACTCTTTTTTGAAGACCACATAAAAAATATAGAATTCCATGTAACTAGATATCTTTTTGTCATCGTCGTCGTCGTTGTTTTTATTATGTTCTGCTCTTCCTTTTTATTTTGTTTTGGCTGTGACATAACCTTTACTTTTTAATTATCATGTCCATGTCACCAAAAACTTTACGCAAAAGAAATAGAAGGATTTTTCACACAATGTATTTGGCGTTAAGCTGCGTGATAACGAGTCGGAAGCCCTGGGGCAAACCCGGGGGGCACGGTACATAAAATAAACAGGGTGAGAGAATATATTTTGAGCTTAGGACAGCAAGATCCATAAAGAAGGGCGTGCAAAACTTAAAGCAGATTAGTATCAGCAAATGACTGACCACTTAACAAATTGACGTCAGTTTTTCATGCGTCTGTCCTGCTATTGATCATAAATTTCGTCATAACATTGTCAAAGTAGCTGTGGATACACTCGGCTATCGCCTCGTCGATCCGCAGAGTTACTTTGACAATGTTATGATGAAATTCATCGTCAATAATAGGACAGACGCATTAAAAACTGACTTCAATTTCTCTTTTTACGATAACAAATTGTCAAATTGTCCGCTCTCGCTCGTTGACGCGACGCATAAATTATAAATTCATATGAATGCCCGCAATTAGCCAATGAGCACGCGAGAATTTCTGCAGTTATCGTAAAAATTTAAATTGGCTTGGTAGATCCACTCCGTGCTTTCATGAACCGTTTTTTATCCCAGGCCCAAAGTTGGTTATACGGTGCCATCAGTGGAGCAGACAACTAGTTTTGTTATTTCCAAGAAATGTTTCAAAAACAAGTTCAATAGCTGTGAGCTGTACACAGATGATTCTGTAGTCTCAGTCTTGAGGCACTATACTTAACAATGGGGAATGGTACTTCTCTGATGTCTAAGGATACAAATTTTGTCACAATCTAACGCTGACTGAGTTTGCCGAGGACACGAGGTGCGAGTTCACAACAGCGAAACAAGCTAGCGCACAGTTCCCGCCAAAATTGTCGTTGCCAAAGTCTCAAATTTGCAAAATTTTCTTTTCAAGACAAAGCGCAAGTTGTTTACCGCAGAAGTAAGCTTCTTACGTCGAGGATGTATGGAAAATTTAGTAATCATTGTACAGTGTCAAACATCACATTCATCGCGTCGATGGTGAAAACTGCCATTTTTGCCGCATTGTCTTATAAGCAACCTACACTTTTCGCTTCGAACTCTTACAAACTGTTTCAAAGCCATTTAGCACCAGCTAGTGTGGTGGCTAATTTTCTCGTCTAAACACTCCGCGTTAAGGGTACTACATTCACTTAATCGAAAAAAGTTCAGTAATGTTGCCAAAAAGATCTTAAGATCAAACAACTTGTGTTAATCTTTTTTCGTATTTTCTATTTAGATTTTAGTTACCACCGCTCTTATCCAATACCTGGTATCGACCCTTGTTCTTGGAAGACCTCGCCTCGCAGAGAGACTTTCAAACAAAAATGACGAAGGATTGAGTGACTACTTCTTTGGACTGAGCGCGCGCAGGCACAAGAGACACGTGCAGATGATGTCACGCGATGGAACAAAAGCCACACTAGACAAGGCAATGAAGTATCATCATCTTCAGAGGATAAAGAGAGACCTCAGCAGCAATCCATGTTATAAGCCTGGCTCGTTCAAAAGCATCAGGCTAGCTGATAACTCGGCGACATTTTCTGTGGAGTGTTTGCAGAGTACTACCACGGGATGCTTCCAAAATGTACAAACATATACCACCACCCTTTGCGCAGAGAACAGAACGTATTTTCCCAGCACCGGGCAAACAGTCGTGCAAGGTTGCAGCTGTGCTTGATCCAGAGCAAGACAGACACTGACTTTATTTCGTGGACTTGGCGTCCACCGGCGGATGCCAACTTTTAATCATCGTAAATGTAAAAGGTTATATGCACAGTAACTGCCCGGGGGAGGGGTACTCCCGTATATAAGGAACGGGGCTGCTCGTTGTACCTTTTAGGGGTAAAAAAAACAAAAACAAAAAACAAACAAATATAAGTTTTGTTAACTCTTGGGGTATTCAGCTTGAAAAGGTTCACAACGGGAGCTTTCACGGTACCTCTTTCATTAAAATTTGCGATGAGCACCGCTGTCCTTTTTATATGGGAGTTCGNCCCCCCCCCCGAATTAACTATTTCCTAACAGTTCGGAAGGCTGGCGTCATTTGCGTGTTTTCCAGCAATTTGCGCCGGGTTCCTTTGTTTTTTACTTTCAGTTTTTACTGGGTGCTTACCATTTGTCAGAATAAACCAGTTGCCGTGATGGATTTGAATTATGGTAAGGGTTTTCGAAAATCAGCAAACCAACCGATCGAGATGGCGCTTACAATTTACAATTCTATATCCAGGTATTGTTTTTGGCTGATTAGAGACTGGAAAATAAAAAAAAAATAAGCAAATGGCTAGGAAATTTCAGCCGTTACGTTCCGAACGGAAAAAGATGACTAAGGTAGTCTATAATTTCCCAACGGATTTTACGGACAATTACTGTTTCGTTTTACTTTCAACCGAAATTTCCGGATTTTTTTGGCTAAATGGTAAGCACCCATTGGCCCTTTGCTGTGATTGGTCAGTTAAACTCAGACGAAGGTCCTCGAAAAATCTGACGACTTTGTACTCTCACGATCATAGGTGATAATATCCGGCCTGTATTTATTGGATATATATTTTAAATGCCAAGACTTTTTCATTCCAGGCAAGGCCCGTATTTATAAGAGTCGCTAAGAATATGTACTCAGCTGCATCTTTTAGTAAATAGGACGACGAGGAACAACAGAAAGTTCTCAAATTCCATGTAAATATAAGGGCATAAAATAGAGAACTGAAAATATTTACAGAAATTGCAACGACTCTGGTGTAATTGACAAGTCACAGGTATTTCATAGTAGCGTGACATTTAACTGTCACGCAACACTCTTCTTTTTGCGTTGCGTGACAATCCGAACAATGACTGCAATGGATGTATATGATTGTTGTAGACTTGTTGCGGTAAACATTATCTGTACTCTGAGAGAGTTTTGCAAAAAGTATACAGTAAAATAAAAGTGACATTAAAATACGCCTGCAGTTTTGCTTCTCTACAGTTAATTCAAGTTTTTGGGTTCAGTTTTGTAATTGGCCAAATATCTGACCTGCCCCACCTCTGCAGGTGCTCTTCTCCAGCGTTTGTTATTAGCTATGTGACAAAGAAATGTTAAATTTGACACCTGCCAGATTCGGTGACACTTGTGCAGACGTCGAATGTTGTTGCAGTTGGAGTAGAATCACCGATTATCTAGCCAGCTTTGTGCATACCAGCCTAGTTTGTAGATCAAAATCACGTTGCAGACCGTCTTTTTTGCAGTCCGCGTAGGACTCTGTGTCGTGAACGTTTCTGGACGAAGTGCAGATTAGTCAAAGTCAATTTAATCTCCAGTCGTTCTTCAAAGAGCGGCAATATAGGACACAATGGCTGACGAACGCTTCAGCATTATCGACTATGTTGTTTTCTCCGTGATGTTGCTGATTTCGGCGCTAATCGGAGTATGGTATGGTTGCGGACCTGGAGGGAAACAGAAGACAACTGCTGAATATCTTCTGGGAGACCGACAAATGAAAAACTGGCCTGTCGCGATATCCCTTCTGGTGTCGTATCTCTCGGCCATAACGCTTCTCGGGGTACCGTCCGAGATTTACACCTATGGAGCCCAGTACTATGTACTTATCATCTCTTACTTTATCATCTGCTTTACCGTGGCCGTCATTTTCGTGCCGATGTTCAGGAGAGTGAATATCACCTGTGCTAATGAGGTTAGTCTGTAAAATGTAAAAGAACACGAGTTAAGCGCGCGATTATGCAGCTGACTTGCAGTGAGGGCGTTTCGGTGAGCGATAAGGCGGTTATCCCGATGCAAAACAAAAGTTTTGAGAGAAGATATGTCCTCGCGAGTTACCGAAATACCGGAACATCGCCTGTCCCGCACATGTGCTTGTAGAGGCAAAAATAAATCTATTTAGGTGCCAACATCAGGATAGATTACGCGCCAACGCGCGAGTTTCTGTCGAGGTCCACACTTGGAAAGACGAGTGGTGCATCAGGACATTTCATTGCTTCACCGATTTCCCTATCGCCGTAATTTCGCTAGAGAATTACGCGTTTCCAAAACGTTTACTTCACAGTGTGAAAATATTTACACGCTGCATGTTCACCGTCGCCGGAATTTGGGAAAAGAAAAGAAAGAAAACCTTTTGATCTGGGGAACGTTACCTTATCTCAAGTTTTATAAGTTTAGTTCTGTTTTAGCTTAGTACTTTTAAATGTTTAAATGTTTATTTTATTTATGGACTAGGACGTGAAATATTTGTGTAGATAAGAAGGTAATTGAATTCCTGCTGAACGGATATTAGAATACAATGGGCAATTTGTTTGTTTTCAGTTTCAATAGGATTTGTCTCTTGTTCTGCGCGTGCCTCTAGGGCAGATTAGGAGACGGGAAGGCGAAGTGACATATTAGAGATGTTTAGTAATTGCTTGTCTCGTAACAAACAAACCAAAAGGATTCGGAAACAAACATTTACACGAACTGATTTACACAGCTGTAGCTTCCAACGCAGACCGTCTTTTAACTTGTCACGCAATCTTCCTTCCTATAGAATCCAGGATTAGCGATTGCGTGACTAGTGCCTGCGAGCTGTAACAAAAACAAAACTACAGGTGGAAATGAAACTCAAGAGGCTTTTCTTGAACGGTTTTCAGTTACGGTTAAAGGTTCTTAATTGTCCTCTGTTCGATCTTACCTCTCTCGTGCGGGGAAATTGGAACAAATAAAGGATCCTTAACAATTAATGTATACATTTATTTTTTCCTCTTTTGTTGACAGTACCTCGAAAGGAGGTTCAGCGTTGGGGTAAGGATGGTGGGTTGTGTGTTCTTCATATTAGAATACGTAAGTATTGAAACTTCTTGGATTTCTAATTGAGGGGGACGTGAGGATTTGCGGTGTTGCGGTGTTGATAATTTTTTAATGCGGTGATGCGGTGAATAGAATCTCAACTTGCGGTGTTGCGGTGATCTCAAACCCTACGGTGTGCGATGTTTGTGTTTTTCACGCTGCGGTGTTCGGTGAAATGAAATTGTTTGCGGTGCTGGGGTGTTTTGATTAACCTTTCTCAAACCTAAATTTGACCTAAATGTAGCATGTAAACTTCGTTAACCCATGCTAATTTATGACAAACACGTACCACTGAGGTTAATAATTTGTAACCAAATACAGACCATCACTTTCCAGGCAATCTTCAATGTGCTTCGGCTGCCAATCCGAAGCTGTTTTTATTTATACGTAACTTGTCAAGTAACTCGACCTCTGCCACCCGGAGCTCAGTGTTCGGTAGACACGTGGAGGAGCGAGGACAGAAACAATCCTGGAAATTCTGGAAACGCCAAGGCCGAATATAATGTATTATTGACCGCACAGCTTCTTCTTACGAAAAAAGGAAAAGGCGGCGAAAACTACCGGCCACAAAATATATTCAGATGTCGTGTCGGCAGGGAAGAAAGAAGTCTTTCTAAGCTAAGGAAGCGTTGTAACTTACACACGTTTACAATTTTTTTCCTTTTGCTATTCGACTTCGTCTAGAGGTCATTCTGATACCGGTTTATACCCGCTCCAAGGTCCTGCGACTTTCTTGACCTTCGATTATCGATATCGAGCGCAAACGCAGCTAACTCCGGAAAGCAATACTTTCAGTCCAGATGGGGCTTCAATCAGTGGGTTTATACACCAAGAAACTGTGAGCGAAGTAGAAGAAGAGAGGGATCTGGGGTAACTCTCGAGGCTCCGCTCTTTTTTCTTCGTGCGCTTCCTAGCTTAGCGCAAGGTTTCTTCACAAGAGCAAGAAAGCGGATTTACAGGCATCAGCAGTATCGACATATGTGCAATGAAAAGCGTTGTGATGTGCTTATTTTGTGGAAAATTGTTGAAGTATAAAGGTATTATCTTCAGTGTAGACTCGCATCACGGTGCTAAAAATACGTGTTGCGGTGACGGTGTTTTGTTGACTTTTCTTGCGGTGATGCGGTGTTCGTTAATTTTTTTTTTGCGGTGTTGCGGTGTTCAGAACCTCCCCATGTCCCCCTCCTAATTAACGATTGGACTACGAGTCCTCGTTTTCTATGAGCGTATAGTCAACGACGCCCAGCCTAGCTGACTATTCGCTCATGGAAAACGAGGGCTAGTAGTATAATTGTTTTATGTCAGTAGACACTTAAAATAATTACTCCATAAACTTACGATTTGGGGTATTTTTAAACGAGCTCATTCGCGGTATTTTGAGTTATTTTGGCGAAGTACAAAATTTCCTTTAAATGGTAGGAAACCTGAAAATGACAGTTTAATAAGATAGAAAAACACCAAAGGGATAATGATAAACCATAAAGGAACAAGGATGGCTAAGGATGGAGGAGATTAACACGGATTACAAACGACGAATTTGAAAAATTGAGGCTGAACTTTTCAATATGCGCAAACTGTGAATTAGCTCCTTTAAGCCCAATGCGCGCGATCGTTTTCTATCTCCAGGCGTAGTCAATCAATGAACGTCGATGAAGAACAAAAGTTGTATATTTGTTACCGATTGCCGATTGAAATCGACAACGATAGATTCATAGATTGTTATCGGAAACTTTTGTCCTTTTTCAAGTTACACTGACAAAATGATTAACAACATTTGTCTGCGATGATTTTATTGAGACAGGAATTATCGATTTTTAGAGATTTTTGTCCGTCGATACCAATAGCGATTGTTAAATTGTAGCCTGCGAGCAGGCTCACGTTGGGAGCAAACGCGCGACCGGCGAAGAGCGAATTTGTCATCAAGAGAAACAATCAGATTCGTGGATTTTTAATGGAACACAGCTGAGTGGCTAGTAAGAGGTAGTAATTTACCATAATGAACAGCAACGATGATAAGTCTAAGCCATGTTCTGTCTTGTTTTGGTAGACCCTTTATTTATTCGTGGTCCTCTACGCACCTTCGCTTGCTTTAGAGGCTGGTAAGTTCTTATGTTTAGACTGAAATTAAAGTATGCATCGTGCCAATTATTGCATTCCACCGTTACATACTTGTTAAGGTGTTTGTGGGTAAAGTAGTTTATTAAAACTCTCGTAAAACAACTGAATGAACGAGTACATTTTACAATCTTAAATTATCTAAAGTACAGTAATTTATAAATATAACAGTGGTACTATCAATTGAGTCACATAAAATATTTAAATGTAAAAAAAGTCTTCTACTCTCTTTGTCGTGCAGGCCTGCATGTTTACAAGTATAACAGTGATACTATCAACTGAGTCACATAAAATATTTAAATGTAAAAAAGTCCTCTACTCTCTTTGTCGTGCAGGCCTGAATGGCAGGAAGAGACTTGGGTTTCTTCTGGGTAGTATTTCTACTCCTTCCTGAATGGAATTATACCCGTCCCCCCACCCGGTATTAAATTCGCCGGTATCTGTTTATGCACTTTAGCAGGGCACGGTTAGATTTAAGTGTCTTGCCCAAAGCACAACAGAGTGATTCCGACCAAGGCTCGAACCCAAGCTGCTTAATCATGACTTCCAGCGCGTTTATAAACCAGTATACCACCAAAGCTCTCCCATGTGTACAATCCATGTTAAGTTAAAACGCTTGTTAATGATTGGCATTTTTATCCAAGTCATTTTCTTAACAGATTGCTATACATCATTTCTTTTAATTTCATTTTTGAGAATCGGTATCATGTGAAACACAGGAAAGTAGGTTTTCTCACACGCTCGGTTTCTTTCTCTTTTGCAGTTGCTGGTATTCCACTGACCGCTTCTATCCTCACCACTGGGGTCGTTTGTACTTTTTACACCAGTCTGGTGAGTAAGCGTTTGACAACACAACTTATCAGTTAATGAAAGCGCGCATGCAAACTAAGAGTTTGTCACGACGTTGCCGAGTGGTTTAGGGCGCTGGATTTGAGCTCTGGAGGTCCCTGGTTCAATTCACAGTCTTCACCCTACCGACCGTCATTTGTATTTTCTCTCGGTAGTCTTGAGTTCAACTCCTCGACCAAGTTGTGTAAATAGCCAACTGGTCAACCTCCCACCAATTGGGGTTCTTATAATTAGTATTTTATGTTCCATTTGAAATATTTTTTTTTCTTTATAGTTTATGATATATTTGCAAGATTTGTCTAATTATTTACAGACTGTTCCCAATTAACGCAACGGTTAAATTATATATTTATTTATATTTGAGTATGGTTCGTTAAGTTAAACACTTACTGCAATGATTCTATTTAGCGCCTTTATTCCAATAAACGCCCTCTTTCTGATTTTCCTTCAGGGTGGACTGAAAGCCGTAGTGTGGACTGACGTGTTTCAGTCCGCAGTGATGGTCGGAGGTCTCATTACAGTTGCAGTCATCGGCAGTGTTGAAGTCGGAGGTTTGAGTAAAGTGTGGGAAATCAACGAGCACTTTAATAGGACCACGTTTTTCGAGTAAGTACAACTTGTTATTTAGTTCATTAGCATTACTCAGTGTCAATCCTATCTGTACCCCCGTTCACACCAGTTTGCTGATTTTGTCCCCCCCCCCCTCCGTAACCCCTTATATGCACTATATAGGCAGGTGCGGCCCCAAAGGGTGTGGCTTTTGAGCAGTTATGGCCTGAGAAAGGGCATAGATTTTTCCCATTTTGGTCTGAAATAAGGTATCTTTTCACTCTGGCTTAGCATTGTGTTTTTTGCTCACGAGGAACTATTTTTTCCGCATTAACATTAGCAAATTTGTAGTCCCTCTCAAATGCTCATGTAAATGGAAGCCATGCCTGGTTCGCTGCCTTCATACAATGGAGCCGTGCACTAATTTGGGAGGTCTGAAATGGGGTGTCGGCTTTTAGCTCAGGTCTGAAATAGGTTAGGGAAAGTCACAGGTTTTGGTCTGAAATAGGGTAAAGAGGCCTGTTGCTCGAAAGCACCGGGAACTTTTCGGGCCCGTAAAGCCATTTTTAGTTCATCTGTACCTAAAATCTGCGAGGTGTATACGCCTGAAACTCCTTGTATGAAGAGAACCTCTGTTCATATTAAGAATCTGTGAATAAAACAGCTCTGTAATCATAAGGTTTGAGATTTTGCCATGACTTTCCGGGTGCGAAAACTTTACGGCTCCTACGAGAAATCACCCCAGGTTTCAAGGTTCGGGCCTGACACCCCGGCCAAAAACTTTGGGGAGTGCGCGCTGTTTACCCACAGAGTCGGTCCCCAATCTTAGGCGTCCTAATTATTAGTTAATTGTCCCTTGATTAATTGATTGATCGCTTAACTGATCGATTGATTGATTGATTCGTTCATTTGTTAAGTGTGCGTTTATATCGTTCCAGCTTTAATCCAGACCCCAAGGTGCGAAACACGTTTTGGACATTAACTATTGGTGGAGCCTTCACTGCCATGCCTGTGTGGACTGTAAGCCAGACGGCAGTCCAGCGTTTTCTCGCCATAAGATCCTTGAAAGACGCGAAATGGTAACGAACAAATTAAATGAATACTGTCGAGGAAAAGGTTGTTGTTATTCATCGTGGTAGATGCAATAATAAAGTGTATTATCGTTTGTCTCACGATGTAGTCACTTGAGATGTAGATCG